ATGCAGAAAGTTTCTTGGGCAAACTCACCGGCTCAAGTGGCTCCATCGGCTAACGAAGGGAAGGGGGAGGACTCCTCCCCCTTCCCTTCGTTAGCCGACGGAGCCACTTGGGGACATCAATGTCACCGGACTCCTCCCCCCTTCCCTTGCCGACTGAGCCACTTGGGGAAGGAGTCCGGTGACGTCACCGGATCTCCGAAGGGCCTCCCGGAAGCCGGTGGATAGGTGAGTATTTTCATTAGTGATCAAAAAGATTAACGATTAATCGAGAAATGAATCGTTAATTTGCACAGCCCTACAAAGATTCATTCAAAAGGGAGTTGTAATGAAAGGTTTGCAATAAAAAATATACAAGTTTGCCCTCAATAGGCATTTGCTTATACAAAAAAAAAGGCTTGAAAATGTGACTACTAAGGATAACATCCCCATTCCTATAGGATGCCCAATCTCAGTCCATGTGGAAAAACATGGACTGAGCTCCATCGAAACGTCGACAATAAAGGTTTGTGAACGCCGGACCATGTCTTTAAAGGAACAGGAACAGTCATGCTGCAACAGAAAACAACCCTCTCCTGTTGCCACAAGATTGGAACTGCACAATTGTCTAAAATGTCCTTTGGTATGTTGTAACATTGGTTACTCTTCAATGGAAACCAGTAAACCCATTTGGTGGGGTATTCACATAAATTTGACAATATAGTAGGTGTGATGCTCAGCTGTTTACAAACTTTTGGTCATATAAACTAAGTGCAGTCTGAAAATCTATAAGATTTATATTGCAAACACACCAAATGAAAAAACTGTTAACTGACCCCCAAAATCTACTAAGATACATCAGAGAAGTTTCATGGAATCTGCACTGCAATTCTGTGAATTTCCCCCACTGTATGCATTAAAAGAGCAGCAGAAAAGACATACAACAAACATGCTTGAAGGGTGAAACATCTTTTAATGATACTGCTGGAAAAGAAGCTCATCTCTGGATAATAAAAACATGCATTATACATAAACCGTTAGAAAAGAAAGCACAACACATTTCTCATTTTAAACTGTATGACAGCAAAGTGCAAACTAAGCCCATCATTGTTTGTGAAGGGGCCGCACATTGTCAGAAATAAGAACCTGCCGGCACATAAAGCTCACCTGAGCCTTGGGGTAAATGCAGAATGAATATCAGGGTGAGTTTCCCGATGGCAAAGACTCCGTTTTGTGTTGCACTTCCCCCGTGCTCTTCTAGTTCTCTTTAGAATCTCTGTGACTGAGTACAGTAAACACAGCAGTGCTAACTCTGTGCTAAATGCCACTGAACAGAACATGCAGCATTTACTGCACGTCAACCATGGTAGCGTGTGCTGCATGTACGGTCACACCGGAGATTATTCAGGTCTAAAATCACTTACAAGGTACATGCAGTAAGTGCAACTAAAACATTAGGAAATACAGTCCAACCGCCCGTGTGCATAGACTCCCTTGAAGAAGTCCTGTTAGATATACCAACATTTAAAAATTAACATTATTACATGATTAAAAGCATCACAAGACATCTACACATTCCTTTATCTTCTTTTGTGCTCCTGTGAAGACCCTTGTTTCACACACAAATTAAAATGAGGTCTCAAGTTCACCTGTGACTTCATTCACAACCCTATTTACTCAACAGAGCAATGAGCTCACTCCATTGGCCAATGGGCACTCTCCCTGGTGTATGTGGGTTACTGGCAGAGCTCAAAGTCAAAAGGTGAGGTCCACGCCATAGCTCAGCATGGTACTTGGAATCTGGGAGCTTTTTGGGCAAATGGGAAAGGATTTCTTGATTAGTAGAGGTACATATAGTAACACAAAGGGGTACCCTAGTCTTCAAAATGTTGGCATATCTGACTGCGTTTTGCTATAAGTAAATCAATTCAACATTTTCTGCAGAGGACATCGGGCACAGTTGGCAATAATCGGACTGGTTGGTTTTTATCAATCTACTAAAACACTGCAATGCCAGATGCAATTACTGCTAGTCAAAGTCCATGAAAAAACCCCCCCAATGTTTACACATTGTGGACCATGCTTTTCAGAATGGGGGTTGTCCCAGAAGTTCATATTGTTAGGACTTCATAGGTTTTAACTTGCCTGAAAGCCAGTTGTTTATTATGTTCATTCTACTTGTTTTTTGTTTGTAGAAAGCTACAAGGTAAGTCAATCAAAGAAAAATCCAGAAGCAAGGGTAATCGGCAAAACTAAAAGGTTGGAACGAAAGAACATGCCGGTAGACCACACTGGGGGAGGATGTGCCTTCATACAGCACTGGAAAGCATGGGGCATCCCATTCCAAGACCATGGGAACGAATACGAGGTTATACCCCCCTTTGAGGCTAAACCGGCCTTCAATCTCCTGGAGAGACTTTTCCACAATATTTGAGTGTGTGTGGACATCTGTGCCCATTCAGTCAAAAGATCATTAGTGATGTCAGGTACTAACAGGTTGGACAAGATGATTCAGCTTGCATTCGGCATTCCAATTAATCTTGTGTTCAGTAGGTCAGCCCTCTATGCTAGCCACTCAAGTTCCTCTATGCCAGCTGTCACTAAATGACGGACCTAGTAGCGGTTCTGTCCAGACCACGATTGCCGACAGTGGATACAACTGCCTCCAAGGCCGGTGTTTTTTCCACTGACAGCCATAACCCTCAGCTTCAGTCCTTGGTTGCTAGGACTGCTGACTTCCTACAACCAATGGATATCAGGCAGGGCTGCCTGTTACAAGTGATCTGGGTGGCACAGTGTCAGGATGGAGAGTGGGAGCAGAGCGGAGAACAGATGATCTGCTCTGTGATCACTAAAGCACTCTCAGGGCTTCCTGTATCAGCTGTCAGAAGCCAGCTGAAGTGCTGGCTATACAGACTATCAAGCACATTCCTGTGTTTGATTATTTGTATTGGACGGCAGGTAAGACAGAGGCCTAATAGACCCCTGATGTCTCCATATAGAGAACCTGTCGCCACTAAATGCTATCACATAGAGGCTTGTTAGCTCTTTTGTGAGAGCAAGTGGAAAAAAAAAGTGGATTACAAAAAGACAGTAAAATATAAATAAAAACAACCAAAAAAAAATTTAAAAACCAACCATGCCACCCCCACCATCTGCTTCATAAGGCATGCACGTGTATGTAAGAGGGGGGGGCAGCTGCCGGTGTGAATGCAGCCTAAATGGTGGACTATGGTAAGGACACAGACTGAGTGACCGCTCTGTCTGAACCTTGGCTCAATGAAAATGATTCACCGGACCTCTTTACATTTTTTACGCAATTAAGAAATGCCAGGTTTCTGGTCTTACTTTATATAGTTTTACTGAGATACATAGATTTCCAAGTTTGTAAGAAGATGGCTTCCTTCACATTATTGCCTGTAAAGAATGGAACGTCCATGTGCTGCAGGCTTGTTCCTGGGGGCCGAGCACCAGCTTCCAGTAGCACCACATTAATAATGATAAGTTATGTGTGGCCTGGTGAGGCACTCGAGACCCAGACCTGCTTTTTGGTACACAGTAAAAGACCATCTCATATCATTACTAATTATTTTGGCTTATTTTCTAGAATACCCACAGTAAACACTTTGTTTTGCTCTTACGAACAAAGGGCTGGATTGTTAGTTTTTAATATATAACCACTTTGAGTGGAAACAGTTACACAGACCTCATGAATCTAGTTAAACATTGACAGAACAGTAGAAAACACACTGTAAAAGCAATTTGTGGGACTTGTACCTCTGCAGCACTGGAAATAAAATCCAATCTTGAATGAATCAATGTTAGAGTGAACCTGTGCTTTGCTCATGCAGGACAAAGCAACCAGATCCCTTTGCTGTTTTCCTCCCCTCTGGCACTTACTCACATTTCCTTTCATTTCCCAGATGCTCCATTCAGCCCCTGTGAATGAGGATCCCGAGTCAGATTACGCAAAGCTGACTGTCTCCATGCCCTCACAAGATAGGTCCAATCATTAGTGCCGTCGCATGTGAGAAAAGGGTGTGCATTTCATGCTCCAGCTTACCTGCAATGCGGGGTATTTCCTTTGCTCCTAGCATTAGACCGGGCAGGTAAGCATAGGAAATATCATTTCCAAGTCACTGGCCCAGAAGCATTACAAAGTAAGAACTGTTGATCTGCAAACTTGACCATGACGACTTAGAATGTTAAAAATTAAAGCCACAGGGTCAGTAAGACAGTCAGGATAATGGCATTTTCAGAAAGAGGTCAGCAATGGGAGCCTACATATTCTCAGTACAGGTTGCCTTGCAAAGAACTAATATGTCTTTTGGTTCTTCACTTGTTTTAACACTGATGCTTAATAGAGTGGATTTCCTCTCTGTGCTGGAGAAGCACAAATCCCGAGTGCTTCCTTCATGAATGGGATTGGACTGTTTGACTGCACTGGGTAAAACCATTACCTACAGCTGTGGATTAATATGGGCTTTAGATGTGTGAGTGAGCAGGAATTAATTGTCCCTTTACATCAATGATGTCACAAACACTGAGAACTGTATTCGAAATACACATTGGTTATTTATCAATGGAACAGGTTTTTGTTGCTTTATACCAACTTTTCTAACATGTGGTTCTTCTCTGGCTATTGAGGACCTGCAAGGCCCAGTCTACATGTGTGAGGGTGTAACCTGGCAAGCTGGAACTGGTAATTTCACAAATGGCAGGAGAAACACAGACTGGAAGCCTCACATATATATCGTCTGGCTTTGATTAGCCAATATCAACACACTGAAGTACTAAAGAGATCCACCAAACAAAAAGGCTGTCAATACAAAAAGTAGGCTGCTGCTATATTGAATCTACTTGCACTCGAACACCTTTAATAATAAACAAAAAGGTCTATTTGGTAAAATAAAGTAATTGCAACAATACACAGTCTATGACAACTCATAGGCATCATAACTGACAGTGTGTACAACAAAATCTACAATTACATTTTTAAAGGGAAATGTTGTTGTTTTTTTTAGATAGGTGTCCCAGTACTTCATGAAAACACTGGTTACTGAAATCTGCTTCTTGGTGGGAAGCGGGCATCCATCTCAGGCATACCAAGGGGACGCGCAGGAGGAACCATATCATGTGGTCCTCTTAACCCCTGGGCTTCAGATGGCTTCTTCGGGGGGTAGGGAGCAAACCTGTTAGGTGCCCTGAGAGCTTCTTCTGCAGGATTCCTCACTTCAAATGGCCTAAAATAAATCAAAACACTAGTTAGTTATTGTAGCACCCCAGACAACGGCATTCAAAGAAACCTGTATGGAGAGCAATATTCGACAGTCGGCTCTACAAGTTTAAACAGACTCCCGGCGGCAAAAGTCACCGGGAGTCTGTTTAAACAGCCCCGATGCTGTTTACGTCGTCAGTCACGAAGGGGTTAATGTGGTGACTGGTAGGGATGCACCGATACTAGTATTGGTGCCGATGCCGAGTACTCGTGCTCGCCCAAATGCTATGATGCCTAGCCCAATACTTCCGGTATCAGGAAGCCGGCTCCCCGGCCAATCAAGAAACTAGGCAGCTTGTAATGATGCGCTGCCCGGCTTCCTGATTGGTTGGAAGCTGGCCACTCAGGAAGCCAGGCGCCGTGTAATGACGCGGCACTCGGCTTCCTGATTGGTTGGGAAGCCGGCTTCATGCTCCAGTCATGACAAGGAAGCATGGAGCCGGCTTCCTGGCCAATCAGGAAGGTGGGCGCCGCATCATTACACGGCGCCCGGGTTCCTGATTGGCCGGGAAGCCGGCTCCAAGCTCCCTCGTCACCTAGTGACGAGAAGCATAAGGACGGCTTCCCAGCTAATTGGGAAGCCGGGTGGCGAGTCTTTACACGCTGCCCGGTTTCCCGGCTAATCAGGAAGCCAGGAGTCATTACACGCTGCCTGGCTTCCTGAATGGGAATTCCGTTATTCGGTATCGGCGAGTACCGATAAAAAAATAAAAATATCGGTATTCGTACTAGATACCGAAATACCGGTATCGGTGCATCCCTAGTGACTGGCTAGAATAAGAGATGACCAAAGCATACCAATAATGGAGGTAAAATAGGGCCCCCACCTCACTTCTTTAAAAGGACAACTTAAAGTGACATTAAACCCTCAGATTTTTTAACATAAACCAATACTGTAATGTGTGCCTTACTGTAATCCATGGTAATTTCCCTTCTCTTTGCTGCTCTTCCTTTTAAATCTATCTGTTCTCATGCTGGGCAGAACTTCTGTTTTGCAGCAGACTGCCTTGTCTCTGGAATGGATACATGGTGTCTGTGTGTAGGTTTGCAACCTGAGCCAGCACTACAGGAAGAGGCCCTGAGCTGAAAAGGGAAGTTCTCCCCCAGCATGAGAAGACATGAGGATTTAAAAGGAAGAGCAGCAAAGAGAAGGGAAACTACCATGGATTACAGTAAGGCGCACATTACAGTATTGGTTGATGTTAAAAAATCTGAGGCTTTAATGTCACTTTAACTTTTAGCAAAATTGTTTAAAGCCAAAGCCCCCTCCCCTCCGATGTAAGACGCATACCTAAAGCCCTGAGATCTTCTCTGTGTGGCCCAAGCTGAAACTGCACAACTTTTGAAGAAATAGGTCTAGACCACTTCCTCATTCAGTGATATTGCGGAGGCCGTTCTTATCCCGGCCCCAGCCATCCAGAAAATTGGTTCATTGCAGGGAATTCTCATCTGTAATATCAGGAGATCTCAGGGAAAGGCATTTTCCTCCCCTGAGATGATGTGCATGGTCACATGTCCTAGTCACATGTGCCAGAAATCAGAAATAGGAGAGCTAGTAATCTGCCCTTAGTAAACATGGCCACTGTCATAAGACTGGGAAAGAAAAGAGAAATAAGGTATGCAAAGACTACAAAGCCGGCAAGTATCTAGAAGTATCTGTTTGTACCGTGTTTCCCCGAAAATAAGACACTGTCTTATATTTTTTTTGCCCCAAAAAACACACTAGGTCTTATTTTCAGGGGATGTCTTATTTTTTTTGGTGCTGGTGCCCAGGGTTGCATCTGTGGATCAATGTAAAAGCAGCCCAATACGGTAATCACTTCAGAATGTCAGAATGTCCACTGTCTTTTATTTACTGACCTTGATAGTATGGTAAGAATGAGAATAATACTGTTGTTCTCGTTATTTTCCTGCTGGTCAGTATCGGTAAAGCAAATTCCATTCTTTCACAGGCGGAGTGCATCTGGTATCACTCCACCTGTCACAGTAATCGGCGCTATAGATGAAGTAGCGGCAAATGCGGCTCTGCTCCCTCCGCTGATGCAGCCATGCTTTCTACAGCTTCCTGTGCCATCAGGGACAGCGGTACCAGCGGTGCAGCAGTGGGGACATGACAGTGGACAGCACGGTATAGCCCATGCTACCGCCAAACTAGGTCTTATATTACAGGAATCTTGAAAACTAGTGCTAGGTCTTACTTTCGGGGTAGGTCTTATTTTCGGGGAAACACGGTAGATTGTCATTACTAAGCATTTCTAAAGGTCTGCTTTAAAAAACAGTCACAGGTGTTGTTACTTCCTCACCCTGTGACTGGACAGTGAAAGGAGAAGCAGCACAGAGATAATCTGTAACTCTGCACTCATGTTCTTTGTTAGTGCATGAACTGATTGGCTGCTCTGCTTGTGTTGCTTTTGTCTATATAAGCTCTGCTGTACATGTGCAAGAGGCTAATGCATCCATCTATCTTACACACAAAGCAAAATAACGGATTCATTACTGTACCTTCCAAAATCTTCATGCATTGATCCATCCATTGGTCGTGGCTCTCTTTGAAGTACACTATTACCTGGATGCATCCGCTCATTTACAGGCCTTTCCATAGCTCTTGCATTACTTTGCTGCATCCATTCATTCATGGAACCATCTGTGGCTCGAGGAGTGTTTGGGTATATTCGACCTTTCATAGGGTTTTCCATGGGGCGTGGAACTCTAGGGTACATGCCATCATTCATGGAGCCTTGCATGGCTTGTGTATCTCTTGTATACATATGTTCATTAGTAGAGCCATCTATGGCTTTTGCACCTCCTGGGTACATTCGATCAACCATGGGGTTTTCCACAGGACGTGCACCCCTTAGGGGCATTCGAACATTCATGGGACCACCCATAGCTCTTGGGTCTTTTAGCTGCATTCGATCATACATAGAACCATCCATGGCTCTTGGGTCTTTTAGTTGCATCCGGTCATAAGCAGGCGCTTCCATATTTTGTCCCTCTCTTGGGTCCATCCTTTCACTCATGGAAACCTCCATGTGCCGTGAAGGGTTTGGATGCATTCGTTCAGGTAATGGGCCTTTCATGAGATGCACCCTTTCTTTCACCAGCCCCTCCAAGCCTCGCAGTTCTTGTGGGTGTAGCTTTTCATTTCTTAAGCCTTTACCTGCTCTGGCATCTCTTAGGTTCAACTGGTCATTCATAGGATCCTCCATAAATGGCGCATCTCTTGGGGGCATCCTTTCATTCCTGGGATCTTCCATATAGGCTGCATCTCTTGCATGTACCCTTTCACCCATTTGTGCCTCCATGATCCTTGTATTTCTTTGTGGAATTCTTTCATTCATAGGACCTTCCCTGGGATACATTCTTTCATTCATAGCTTCATCCATGAATTGAGGCTCTCTAGGATGCATGCTGTCACTCATTGGTCCTTCCATATGCCGAGGCATGGGTCCTCCCAATGGTCTTGCATTTCTTGGCTGCATCCTTTCATTTGGAGGACCTCGGAAAGAACCAGTCATGGCTTCTCTACCTCTAGGGTCAAATCTGGGGTCTTCGTTGCCAAGAAAACCCTCATGAGGTAAATTCTCCCTGTAAGGCATTTCACTATGCATGCTGTGCTCAGCTTCATCTTCAAAGCCAGGATTATTGATTGTATTGCGTGCAAACATTGGTACAGGATGAGAGGAAGGATCCTCATATTGCATATCTGAAGAAAGGTCATGCGGTTGCATGGCATGCATTGGGTGACCCCTTGCTCTCAAATCAAAATCCATGCCTTCATGTAACATCCCAGGATCCTCAAAACGTCGCTGCATCTCTCTGGGTATAAGAGGTGGAATGCTCATAAGAGGCCTTGGTGACGGGTCATGGAAACTTTCAAGATCAAGTTGGAAATCTCCAGGTCTTCGTAACCTCTCAGGATACAGAGGCTCTGCCATATCATCCATGTAAGGTCTGTCCTGAGGCTCATGTGAAGGTAAACGAAGGTCATGATCACCTAGAATATTTCTAGGGGCAACCATTCTTTCTCTTGCATCAAAATCATCCAGGAATTCATCAGATCTCAGTAGTGGTAAATGTCTCCTCTCACGAGCATCAAAATCTCCAAATTCATTTCCTTGTTCATCTCTGCAAGACATGTTATGAATTCTTTAGTTTAAAAAAACCCCGTAATGCAATAGAAGATAAAACAGTATGCACTTGTACTATTAACACATGTTCTATATTTCATGCATGTAACACATTTCAGCTCCTGGAATATTAAAGGGACACTAAACTCAGTAGTTAAATCTTAAAAATATATCTTATTTGTGTATCACTCGGCTGTGAATCCTCAAATCATCTCTGAATTGGTGCCGACACTGTCTCTGAATTCATACTGACACTTTCCTTCCTTCTGGAGGGGGGCTACTTTTGTTCCCCAAGGTCCCTGTACTGTGTGTGTTGTAAAGTAGCCACCGCTCCAAGCTCTCTCCATGATGGACTACAACCTCACATTTAGTTTCCTAATTTGTATTGAGATTGTAATCCATCACGGGAGGGTGCTTGGAGCGGTGGCTACTTTACAAAACACACAGGGACCATAGGGAACAAAAGTAGCCACCCTCCAGAAGGAAGGAAAGTGCCAGTATGAATTCAGAGACTAAGAATCTACAGCCAAGTCATACATTTTTGTTAATAGTTAAGGCCCTTGAACTAATTTTAAAGGTTTAACTCCTGAGTTTAGTGTCAGTTTATTTACCGGTTATACATTTTACAGCACATTGTTCCTGTGGAGGTACTGAGGCATGTGTGTTCAGGAAGTTGTCAAATCAAGCCAAGTAATTAAAAACAAGGTAACACCCATTGAATACTTCACACATACTGCAGAATCCTGAATTAATATTACTTAGCTTTCAGCTGCCCCTTATATTCATTGACTTTTGCCTAAATGCTCGCTTCTGGGTGCCGGGATCAATGCAGCATCAGCATTCCACCATAATCAGCAACAGTAGGTGGTGAAATGTAATCCTGCACTCTTCCACTAAAATCAAGTGTTCATTCAAAATGACTACAGATTGTTGGTGGTGAGGGCAATGGTTTGTACTATGGATGAACTTGAATAAAGTTTGGTGATTTTAGTGAAAGAGTGTGTGATTGCATTTCACCTTTCTTCTACTGTTGGAGATGTAATAATTAGGGATGCACCGATATAAATCGGCCGGCGAAACATATCGGACGAAAATGGCACTTTTGGCATAATGCCGAAAGTGCAATTTTCCTGCCGATACAGCGGTGCATCCCTGCTTTCTTTCTTCCCCGCTGGGCGCTGCTCTGTGCCCCAGCGGGGAGAGAAACTGATAGCCAGCAGAGCGCTGCGGGACGAGAGTGCCGTGAGCAGCCGGTGTCTATTTCCCACACCGCTCAGTCTCCTATCACAGTCCGGCAGAGCGCTGTGTGGGCAGAGACAGGCCGCGCTGTCACAGGAGGCTGAGCTCTCCTCCCACACCGCTCGATCAGCCTCCTGTGACAGCGTGTCAGAGAGGAGAGCGACAGCAAACACTCAGCGATCAGTGATTGCCGAGTGTTTGTAGATAACGGAGGACATGATATGTGGACTATATCCTCACTTATGAATGAATGGGAAGTGATCTACATCACCTCCTGTCCATTCATGATTGTGGTTCTAGTAAACATGCCATGTACTCATGTTATCAATAAACAGCAACACTCAGATGATTCCTTTTCATTGATAACAGGGGATACAGAAAATAATTAAAATAAAAAATATTTTTGGTATGACAATTTTTTTTGCTTTTGGTTTCGTTTCGGTTTTAAAATATCCATTTTGGTGCACCTCTAGTAATAATAAATCCCAACTGAACTAAATAGATTTCAGGTGCACGCAAACACATGTGCCAAGTCTTACAATTCCTTTTCTTCAGATAGCAGCCACAGCCCAAGTGGAAAAGCCTGTCCTCAGCCAGAATGCTGCAGAAAGAGACCCTTGCACTCTGTGGAAGCAATAGTCTCCCTGCAGATGTCCGACATGTCTCCTGTTGAGTCAGAGCTAGAGAGCTCCAATTGTCAAGGAGCATGAGCTTTGCTGCTAGCTGCCTTTATATACTGGGGAAAATGTATCAAAACTGGAGCAGCTGTGCATGACAACCAATCAGCTTCTCTCTCGAGTTTGTTCAGTTAAGATTTGGAAATGAAACAAAGATGCTGATTGGTTGCAATGCACAGCTGTTCCAGTTTTGATAAATTCCACTCGCTGGGTTTTAGACTTATGTCCGTTTCATCCAGGCAGCACAATCTGGTCCCATATATGCTGCTTTTTTGTTCTCGATCTCCTCATCCCCGATTTCTGTGTAAAGTAATGTGCTCTCCGCTACAAAAGATCTCACCGTCTCATCTGCTATGTCATTTGTCACACTATGTACCTATGATGTTATATCCCCATCATCTGCTCATCTCAACAACCACCATCTATCTTCCTCAAATCTTTGGATCCCTGACCTGTACAGTATCGACTTTCTGGATATCCCAGTACTATTGGTCACTGGGAAATACAATCTGCTCCAAATGCTTACCTTGTCTGGTCTTCTGAACCACTATTCAGAGCTTTCTTTTCTTCTTCCGTCGGAGGAAGATCTATGCCAACATTGCTAGTGAACAAAATTAGGAAAAATCATGTTTTGTTATATTAAGAAAAAAAGATAAAATATATAATTTATTAAACCATAAATTTAGAAAAAGAAACAACCTCTGGTCCATTATATATTGAAAACTCCAGACAATTCAGCTTAAAACCATACACACACACTATGTTTTTTTTTATCCCACCAAAAGTTATTTTCAAGGGGCATAATTATAAAGCAGTTAATCTGACATTCACTGGCCCCAAGTGTTCATAGGAAGGCGGTGTAAATTTACTCTTTTCTCTCTTATTACACATAATGACAATAAAGGTTAAGTGTTCATACCTTCTCATAGGTCCTTTAATTAGATCCTCAATGTAAACAGCTCCTTCAATGGGATGACCACGGGAATTTGCAAAAGCTAGAAAACATTTTGCAATTATTATTGTGTGAACCATTTTCAACAGCATTTAATTAATTAGACATCTCTCAAATCATATTAGTGTAGACCTTCTCACTAAACAAACCTCTATATCTGCACTTCAGAAAAACATCTAAAAATTACTAAAATACATTAAAGGCCTTGGGTGGTCTTAGACAAACTGTCTCAATGGATCGCAGCCAATCAGCTTTTACATTTTCATTTTCTAAAAATCCATATATGGTACATATGGATGAGTGAAATGTAATTTCAATAGAAAAAAAAAAAGGGTAAACATTGGTACCACTGGCACACCAAAAACTGATGGTTTTAGTATGCAGCTAGTGTGACCAGGGCCTTTAAATTGCTGGCTATTTAAAAAGGGGCACATAAGTGTAAATCATTGAGATATATATATATATA